ACACCCATCACCATCCTGTCGTAACACAAACAAGCAGGCAAGTGTGTGTGGCCTATTATCAACTTCCAAATGCTTCGAAATCAAGATCAGCCAACTGCGACACCCCGCATAGTGCTCTATTTTCATCCCTCGTCATCTACGGCCCAAAGTTTATCTTTGAAAATACACTCTTGAAATTACAACACACACGTACCACCCGTGAGCCGCTCCGGCTCCCCGGATGTATAGTCTACAGGGCGCGGAGTTCTTAAAGGCGATATGGAGGTTACTTGGAGTGTCCCCGATTCGTATGCAAATGTTGTATATTGTGCTGGGCCACTAGCTACCGGTGAACATTTACCCAAACCTTTCCGGTAGCATTGACCTCAGCCATGGCCTCAACCATGATCAGGAAAGATTTTGATAGATGAACACAGCATAGTCCCCAGCATGGGCAACATAGGCTATATAAGCCAGCCAGGAAGATAGATAGAAAGAATATTCTCGAGTACCATCCATGGAGGAAACCTTGAAATGCAGGCTGTTGTGCAACGTAGTAGCAACGAAAATGCAAAGACTTCTTTGCCTCGGATGTTTATCTCCACGAACATTTCGCGTCCATGTGTTGAGTTATGCTTGATTTACTTTGAATCAAAGCAAGCCGGCGCGCTCCTTAGCACTGTTCATTCTCTTGTCCGTCCATATTCATTGCGATCGTCAACGGGAAGAGATGAAGCAAGCATGTGGCGAGAAAGCCGTGGGCGGTTTCGAAATACCTTGCTTGTCCGAACTTCAGACAGAAGAAAGCCACTGGCCTGTCGTGCAATTAAAGAGTGGCAGAGTTTCAAACTTTGAAAACTCGCCACCTCTTGCAATCCCACCCTCTGTGCATGATTTTACCAATTTGGCATTGAATGCACTTTACACATGCCTATTGATTCATCCATCGACAGACACCCTAGTTCATTCAAGCCGCAGTAGCACCTTGATGGCCTCACTAAATTGGAATCATCCAGTGAGAACATTTGGCATCCTTGCTGAAATGCAAGAATGATATCGATGGACGAAGGGAGATATAGTAGTTCATGTGCGATTTGATAACATCTGGCAACTATGATACCATTGGCAACGGTTGTACACTAGTGGCCCGCACGCATACCAATTAGCAACCATATTTTTCTTCTTTTCTTTTTTTTTGTTTGCGTCGATCTATGAAAAGCCTTGTTTTATAGGATTAGGCTTTCGGCAAGTTAATTCGCACAATTAATCTACATTCATTGCTACTATCTTGATACTATTGATCCTGCTTTCACGGAAGACAACCGAATGAGTGTGCCTACCTGCTGCTTAAACATACCTGGCAAACTGAGCTGCGTTTCATTTTGCAATGGCTGGTTGATAGGGGGGCAACCACCAAAACCACATCAAAGCAGCGGATGATAATAATATCAATATATGTGTCAATAAAAATTGCTGTGCCAGAGCCTTGCGCTCATAGAAAATATTGACCAGTGAAATATTGAGCGCTAACTCCCATCCATGTTTATAATTGTCACTCTATTTTATCCGAGCAAAGCGCTATGTGTGACACGCAAGCTGGGGTTGGAATGCGGGGAAAGAGTTCAAGGCGTGTCTTTGTTCGACATTCGTCTTCACCTGCATAGTGGGCGTCATGATTCATTCATGAAAAATGAAAAATATTGCTTACCCTGGAGGCCTATCGTGTCGTCTTCACTAGTAATGCTTACGTAGGCTCACCGAAAAAAATGATTAGACAATGCTGCATGACCTAGGCTTGAGAATGATTGCGAAGTCTGAGAAACGCCAGCAAGGATCTAAAGCAACTCAAGATCATGCAAATGCATCAAAATCTTGAAGAATCCTGGTCTAACTACCTAGATGTAATTTGGTTCCTGAACTTCCTGCAGGCTGGAGAGAAGTTAACTTTCAACAAATCGCCCTCTCCCATTCATCAGGGCCTTGTTACTGAACTATGAAATGAACAGTACGAGACTTGCAGGCAATTCGAGATCGGAGATCGCCCTGAATTTGTATTCAAATTGATGCTTAATATCGATTACGATTGGTGTTTCTCATGCCGCTGTATATTTTGGGAATATGCGAAAGGTCAATTAGAAATGATTCTATGCCGGAATAGTACCAGGGGGCTGGTGATGCTTGAATAGATCATCCATCGGGATTTAAACTGCCGATTTCGAAAATGAATGGAACTCTAAGGCCCCAAGAGGTTGTGTATTCTCGATCAGGATCGTTCAATGCAACAATATGTGTCGAATTTGGATATGGCTGCATACTAGCCAATCGATGGAGATGGAAAGAATGAAAGATGTCTGAGATTCAGAGTGCAATTCAACGGCAAGATTTCGCACCGATGAAGGAAGTTCACCTCTTGGTAAGTAAACCAATAAGAATGATGACCCCGCAACGCTATTGAAGCCATTGTATGTCAGCTTGTGATGAGGCGACGACGACTTCATGTTAAGTGTGGAGTTGTGCATACTTCAGGGCGATGGGAAGTCGAAACAGAGAGTCAAAAGAATAGAACACCGTGAGAAGGCTGCATATTCCTTGTCAACACGGGCAGAAGTGTAGGGTATGCATGCGTTATCCTAGTTGTAGCCAATAGTAATACAGAATGTGATGCAGTAGGTCTACTTCGTACGATACAATGAATCGCAATTCTCTGTGACTTCTATCAGATTAGCGATGGGGGTCTGGTCAGTTTTTAGTCTGTGTGCTTGCATTAGCACTCGATCAGCATCCCCTGTCAATTGGATTGTGAGTGTGGGGGAACAAAGTAAAGATTTGAATGAACGGTTGTAAAAACGAATATGGAAGAGCAGCTGTTACTGATGTCCAAAAACGCTCAGACTAGTACGGATGGAACGATATGGAGACAATCCATGGCCGGATTAGTTAAACGAGATGGGCACCTTCAGCAAGTGGAGAGGCATTGCTACGAGCCATGTGTTCATAGATCCAGCTATCTATGATTTTATGTGTTCAAGTGATGGGTTAGATAGATACCTTTGAAACTGATTCGACTAATCAAGGAAACTGAATCTAGTGAATCTACACATGAGACGTTCAGGAGGCTGTGAACGTGTGACAGGATTGAAGAATTTTGCAGCTATGGCGCATTAACCGCGAGAAATCTAAAATGGTCTAGCTCAATTGCTGATGATGCGGAGTTGCTATGCGAGATAACTAAAAGAGGCATGGTTGATGTGGAATTATAGTTCCTTTAGTCCGCCCCCTGTTTTGGAATTGAAGGGGACGAGGCAATCTGATATTGATGATTATTATCGCGTAGAATGTGTGGAATGTTGAATAAGAAAAGATAAGGAAAGGAGAATCTATGTGCGGATATTGAAAGCTAGTTAAGAAATGTTAGGATAGCATCATTTTGGTAAAATTTCATGTTGTGCTTATGATGACTATCTTACCATTTTTGATGAATAGTAATTGGTGAGTGATCCACATAGCATTCCAGTCTAGAGTACGTAAACTCTCGTGATAACGGTGATACGAGCTGAATGTCAGCTCCTTGGTAAGAGACGGCATCGGTACGACCGACTAGGGCTGAGACTTTTCCATCATTGGAATTCCGAAGCCTCTCCAAAGCCGTCCGATGAAGAGTCCGCGAAGCCGTCTTATGTCGTCGGTTAGAGATAGTGATGTCTTGTGAACCCCCACTCACTTCTCAGCTCTTAGTGTGATCATCAACTAGCATGGGATTCCTTTTGTTTAGTTCGAAATCTTGTAACCAAATTTACTCTGTATACCCGCTTCAAATAAAGTATCGGAGAGAAGATTGGCTACCGTAAATGAATCTCGAGGTCGCTTTCTTCAGCCTCGTGATAGACTAGACCAAAACGATTGACGAGTATCGCCATATTGTTGGGTGAAAAAGAGATAATCTCTTTCAAGAGACGGCTGGTTTGTGGGAGATATATTGTTTTGCATGAGGATCGTGTACATGGGTTGTAGTACTTTCATGGGTCTGCAGTCTCTTGGTAAGTACCAGAGATGCAGTACGTTGCTTCATAGAAGATGGCATGAACATTGCCATAATGGCCAGTTTCCCTATGTAAGACTGCAGTCAAAAGTGCATACCGTCAAATTCATAAACGCTGTACACCGAAGTATATATTGCTTCATAGTAGCATGAGGCTATTAACATGACTTGGTGACGTTGAATACAAGACGGATACAAGCCATGTACAACCACAACCCCACGAATTGCTGTCGTGAAAGTACCAGCGACATGACCCAACGACGTTACAACGCAGGGGCGCAGAAGGAGTAGCAAGTAGCCGCCTTTCACAATCTCTGGGTTTGGTCTTCATATCAAGCTTGTGAGCGTTTTGCACTTTGCATGCATTCGTAGATCCAATGCTGTAAGATAAGAGAAACTGATTGGATCATTGAAACTTCGATATCAAATGATTGAACCACGGTTCGAAGAAGTGAAATTGGGATAATCTCCGCAAGTTTTCTCCGTTTTCGTGATTCCCGTAGTTGATACTACTGAAACCTATTTATATTCGGGGTCAGATAGTGGACAATGCTTCCCATGTTTAAAGTGGATAATATCTACAACGCCGCTTTGTTCGAGAAAAGTCCTGGGATCGAGAAAGCGAATTCAAGATCATGAATGATTTTTGATCCTTTCGTGAATATCAAGGAACTAGTTGCAAAGTAACAGATCAATCAATTGTCAATCAATCGTCACTCAATGAAACAAGAAAAATTTACGTGGGTCCGTCTCACAAGGTTTCTACCTGGCTCATCAAGCGTCTTAACTGTCATCATGCCTATATATTACTTCACTTTACTAACATAGTCCATAGTTATCTCACATAAACAAAATTTAGGTATATTGAAGCGCCGAGGAGCTGAAAGGACCACACGGAAGACCTAGCCTTGGAGCACGTTTCGTGCCTAATGACTCTCCAGCGTGGAGAAATACGTACTAACACGGTCATGGAAATTAGACCCTAGATCTTGGCCCATGAGGCTGTGGCTCTTGGAATCTTGTCCTGGATATTTTGAAGAAGCCCAGATGCTGTGACGTACTCCGTAAAGCTCATCCGTGAAATACGTTGCAAAATTGTAATGTCGTGTTTAAAGGTTTCTCGTCGAGGAGTTCCCGTGAAGCCGTGGCTATCCGGTCTATTGCTGTCAAGGGAGATGGCGAAGGCAACGGGTATAGTCCCAACATCAAAAAATCTCATCCGATTGTACATGAGCATATAGATGCTATAACAATTAGTATCCACAGCTTTCGGATGGTATTTTAGTACCTACCAACCCAGCCTACCTTGTAGTGTAACATGGTTCAAGCTATTCTACTGTGACCTAATGTGGTGATAGAGAGATAGTGCCAATCTGTCTTTTTGTCGGGTTTCCTGGAGAGACGGCTATTATAGAAAACGGATGGTGCCGAGCGGGAGGTTAATAGTTTGGGGACACTCGAGGTTCTTCGCTGTCCCAATCTAATCATCATGAAATGAGGGGAAATCTCAAGGGCCCACTGGATATTGATGTTCGTTGCTGCAGAAGCGACCAAAAGGAGAATAGAATGCACATAACTTATGCCAATGATCATCGACGAATCATATAGAATTTTGGATGAAGGACAATATTGGTGTTCCCCAAGGCTAGGTAAAGATTGCGGAATTTGATCTTGATGGATGAGCCATTTACATTTTTATTGCCGCTGTAACCATTTCAACAGGATAGGCAGATGAGACTTGCTCAGCGCACATCATTTAATCAATTTCTTTATCAGAGCGGACAGAGCGGACAGAGCCACGGCCAGAAACTTATCACATGAAATGAACAATGATTTAATCATCGCCCAGCTCAGGTGATTGATCATGGCGTCCTTGTTTTAATTCCTCTCGCTTCCATTTCGCGATGTCTTGGCTATAAGGCCTTCTACTTACTTGGATATGTAGACTATTGCTTCAACAGTCACACTAGTACTTTACCAATATCAGTCATTTCCCCTCCCGAATCTAATTCTTTCGCGCGAAGTTCGCGAAGATTAATTTCCATACACGATCCTGCCTTGGATCTTTGATTTCTTCACTCGTTACCAAGCAAGGCCTTGAGTTGGGTTGCTTATTGAGATTTGACAAGTTGGTTATGTGTCCTGTACCTGGTTCAATTGGGGGTAAATCGAGAGCTAGACTTGATTTAGGTATCTTTGGGTTCTAAAAATGACGATATTTCTGGTGTTCGAATACAAAATTATCCCATCATGAGCCTTGTTTTATGGAGCAATAATACTTTGAACGCTTGAAATGAACCCTGTGCAAGTTTTCATAAACACTCCTTTTTTATTCTCACTCCAATCGATACCCCAGCATCAAAGCCTTTCTAGAAAATTTACGAGTAACCCTACACACTGCAGGGACACAAATACGGTCTTCACTAGGGCCAGAAGGATAACTTGGACCCTGTATAGCACTAACCACTTTGTCTTGCCTAGTCAAACACCATCCCACGACGCTGTTTTAGTTGAAGTATTTGCTTCAAGAATCAAGGGCGGCCATGAACATGGATGGTATGAAGCCAGGATTGCTCAAAGGGTGGGGAACTTCGATGCAGCTGCTACCAGTCATAAGTTCGAATGGTATAGCTAAAAGTCATCAGGGCTAGTATTTAGCTATCTAGTGAATATTCAAGGATTAATTGTGCCATTTTGTGAGTGAGCCATATCTTGATTGCTGCTATAGTTACAGTGCATATGTACATATTTGAGGAATAACTTTAACCAAAAGGGGTCAGCAGAAAGTGGCATGATGAACAACTACACGCTAATCGGTGATTAGTCTGATTATCTTTGTACTCATAATAGCACCACCAAAATCACCCACTCACACCACTTAAACACACCACATCAGAAGAGAAAGAAAGAAAAAAATTCAAAATTCCCGCAGGCCTCCGAAAAGTCTTGCCCTATTGATACATATCTGTACAACCAATCAGTAATTGTGAAGAGCACACACACCTTTTCCTTAGTAACGATACTGATTTTCGCATGACTACCATTAGGCTAGCGTCTAGCAGCCTATTTTCACTGCCCTCTACCTCCAAATTGTAATTGATCTCTGCGCTTTACCACTCTCGGGGAAGTGGCCAAAAAGGTGAAAAAAAAAGCCATCTGCACAAGACAGGCATTTTGTCTGCAGGACCCAGACAGGCCGGCTCCCAGTCAACCCCAACTCGCTACTCAAATTTGTATATACTTCGACCTCCGCCCTCATACTTTGACCAATATCAGAACTTCAAGGACTTCTAAATCATCTACTTTTCGAAACAAGCAAGACAATCGAGTGAAATAAGGGAATGATACCATACAATAACTCATATTCGTCAACTATTACTTATTCATAAATCACCTCATCCACTTTAGAAATTACGGCAGTAGTCTTCATTGCACAAGATCTCCTCCACTTAGTACCGGGTGGAGCCTTTCGTCGAGTCACACCATAGCATACTTGACCGAGCTTTTGTCTACGACATAAAATCAGACAACACAGCATTGTTCCTTACCTGCGAAAAGATCCATAAAGAAAGACTCATCCTTCGAATTTTGGAAATTTTAATTCTTCAATTCATTCGATCCTCATCACCCATTCCCAATTCCTTCTACACACTTTAGTACTATCAAGCAATCAACATACAAAATGTCTTTCGATATGGAATGGTCTCCAGATTTCTGCCTCGCCTGTGACAGGCAAACAGATGGCAGTGTTTACTGTTCAGAAGCTTGCCGTTTGGCAGAATATGAAAAGGCTTCCTCCAGCGACAGCTCAGCACCCTCCTCACCATCGTCACTTCATGGAGCTGCTTGGCCTTCAAGGTCGAATGGTTTCTACATGGAGCCAGCATACAACTTCAGCAATGCACAACCATACGGTACAACCCCCTCTAGTACCGCATCCTTCTACCAGCCCTTGAGATCATCCCCAGCTGCAAAGTCTACCTTGACTCCTTCGAGCTCGCAATCTAGTCTCTTCTCCATGCAGAGCACTTCCTCGACTTCCTCAGAACCAGCACAATTATCGGCGGAATCAAAACGGGCATTGAGGGCATATGCTAGCTCATTCGACCAATCTCGCAACAACAGACGACAATCCGGCAGCCACTAAATGGTTACTTCCCAAACTTTACTACATTAGCATCTCAACTTCATGCATTTATTGGCGTTATTTCAGACCGCACAAATTTCCTCTCATCATGATACAAATACCCATATCTCATCTCTAAAATCCTTACAACGGAGTCGGCGTTTTCTCACAATATACGATCCAAAATCGGTTGTTGTACAAAAGTGTTATCATTTGGGCATTAGGATCACATCATACATTCACACGGTTCACATCTCTCATCAATCTTCGGCATTTAAAAATTTCCTTGGGTCCAGTCTTTCATCATTTGCATCGGAGCATTCAGAATAGCGAGGAGTGGAGTCTCGCAGTCTTATTATCATATCAACACTACACTTTTTTTTTCTAATACATCATGGGCATAAGGAAGGTACGGGACGGATATAAGATGTCACTTCAGACTATGGGAAAGCATGGGAGCAATGGGATAGGCAGCGTTGGAGCAATTCGAATTTCATTTGTTGGAAAGGAAGGAATGATTCACTTTATGGTGAAGGGGCGCCTTTTTTTCTCGATTGATTCTCGCTTGATCGGCAAATTCATCTCTTGTTAGCGATAGTTTGGATTGGGAGGAGAATATACCACACGGTATGAATGGATGGATCAATCTGGTCTTATCATTACTTCTTAAGAATGAAGTGAAATGGCTTGTCTTATTAGCATGATAGTCAAGAAAAAGAATAATAAAGGTTCTTTAGTCCGTTCACAAGTTGACGGACTTGACACCAAACTTTATCTCTCCTCATTGCCTGTTTTGTGATACAATTTATGTGAGAAATGTGAAATTTCCTTAAACTTTTTTTTTCTTGGATAGCTTTGACTCAAATGGCTTCCTCATCCTACGACAACAAAAACGGAGTACGATTTTTTCCCCATGTAGTATGGTACCCCTCGCGCTCCCACTAATTCACTAATCAGGAGACAAGCAAATGATGTTCGTCGATCGGTACATTATGGCGGCCACCACTCCTTCCTTCAAACAAACAAGAAATCTAGTGTAACAAGTACCTTGGCAGCTAGTTTGCGGCGAAGTCCAAAAAATAACAATGATGTGAGCGCCTAAATCTTAAATGATGACTATTTGTAAGTAAAATTAGGTCAACAATAAAGTAAGAATTTCTGTTTGCCTCTTGTTGGATTTTCACGAGAAGTAGGAGGAAGTGATTCTGCATTGAGTGAGGAAAGCTGATCAACTTTCCACAGGGTTGGGGAAAAGGGAAATCGGAGAATTTTCTATGTATAGTTCTTTCGCAATTTTACTTACGGAGTACCCAGCGGCAAACTAATCCATATGCTGTACAGATTTCTAGAGTGGGAGAATTTCACGCATTTGAGATTTCTTGTGTAAGACGGAGATACATTTTGATATTGTAGTTATCTGTGGTAAAATCAATTGATTTCTATTGTCTAGACCCTGATCTAAAAGAAAAATTGCTCGAGTGAGCGGTTCGGGGCGTACTGGAAATGGATTTGATTCGATCGAAGGTTAGACTTTAGCCAAGACGATTTGGAATCGTCGACGGACTTGAACTCTACTGTTACGGCTAGATTCTCGCGTTTGGATTTGGATAGAGTTTGGAAGAATTTTCTTTTTGTTGGATTCTACACGAGATATTATACTGTACATCACTTCATCGAGTGTTTCGAGGTGTTGTAGAATCTACAACGAGAAAGATGCTGGGAATATGGGAGGGATAATTCAACGTTCACTGTTGGTTGGTAGGGACTTTGGGAATGCTTAGACATTAGGCTACAAAGTTAGAGAGATAATGGTGGATTCTTTAGGCTTGCACGTGTTCTGTTCCTCGGGACCTCCTGGGAATCATGGATCAGGTCTAACAATGTGTGGGGAGAGCTAAATGGATGATGATGCGATTCTCATGTAAGGTTGGATCATGTATTACCCTATTAGTGAAGAATTCATGGATGAGCTGTCTTGAATGCATGAAGTGAGGTCTCCGCTGGGGGAGTTCTCGTTAGATAATGGGATCTGTGTTAGAGCCTTGGGATTTAGCGACGGAGACACGTGCGAGGGGTTTGAATGAAGGTGGTGATGATGAACAGCTGGATTG